CAAGTGATGAGAAAACATTTCTGAACTCTAGGGATCTGACGACAAAAGAGAAGGTGGGGTTAGACTCTGGGCTGAGAGGTACAAAGGTTGAGGACAAACGAAAGGTGACAAAGAGGCAGGTGCTTTATGCAAGGAGAAGGGGAATGAAGTGGTGGAATCGGGGGAGGGAAACAAAAAGGTTATGCTGATGGAGGAGGTGCCAACCCAACACTTGGCAATGGTTCCAATGGAGGTAGTGGGGACATAAAATATTCTAGGGGAAGGAGCTACGGAGGAGAGAGAAGAAGGGGAGAAACAAATGGTAGACTTTGAGGCTGAACTCTAAGGATCTGACAACAAAAGAGAAGGTGGGGTTAGACTTTGAGGCTAAGAAGGGTACAAAGGTTGAAGACAAACGAGAGGTGACAAGGAGGCGGGTGCTCTATGCAAGGAGAAGGGGAATGAAGTAGTGGAATCGGGGGAGGGAAACAAAGAGGTTATGCTGATGGAGGAGGTGTCAACCCAACACTTGGCAGTGGTTCTAATGGAGGTATTGGGGTCATAAGATATTCTCGGGGAAGGAGCTACGGAGGAGAGAGAAGAAGGGGAGAAACAAATGGTAGAGGAGTGGGGAAAGAGACTTTGGGACTTAATTGAAGAAGAAACCTCTAGTTGGGTTCTCCAAAATATTCAAATGATTAAGCCATTTATCCTTATAATTGTTCAAAGATATAAAGGATTGGAGGAATGAGAAGTTAAGAGAAGAGAGGCAAAGAAGCAAAGCTAAAATGAATAGGTGGTGGAGGGATTTAAAGAGCTGGAAAGATTGCAGTTTAGTGTTAATTATTATAACATGGGAAAAATGTGTTAAGAAAGGGGTGGATCACGCAGGTAGTATAAGTTCCTAGAATGTTAGAGGCATTAACGACCATAAGAAGAGACAATTTGATTAAAGATTAAATGAACATGTGAAAACCTGATGTCATATGTCTACAGGAATCCAAATAGAGATTTTATTTGAATAGATGTAAAGAGTTT